GGCATGGAGGAGGGCACTTGTGGGGATGAGCACTGGGTGTTATGTGGAAACTAATTTGACAATAAACTATTTGTAAAAAAAAAAAAAAAAGTCTTATGTCTCTAGAAAAAAAAAATATACAGTTAGTATCTTAGAGAAAGAATCATATAGTCTATAGTTCCTTCTGCAGACCTTATACTAAACATGAATTACTAAAAATTTCTGGGTATCTTTGACTTCTTATATTAACTTTCTCCTCTTTGTGTCTCCTCAATGTGTCTCTTCACTGTCAAAGAAAGAGAACTACCCTCAACCTCCCAAAAAAGGAAAAATTTAAACATGCAAAAAATAATTGTGTTCTGGAACAACATAAGTCGTGTACAGGTTCCAAAAAGATGGTATTTAAAATTCTCGGTTTCTTGGCAAGCTACTTTTAAAACAGGTGTAAGTCAGATGAAGAATGTGTGTGTCTTTGTGATAAAAGGTCTTTCAAAAAATTCAAATACCTAAATACCAGGTTAAAAAGACTGTTATTAAAATTTAATTTAAGTAGCTATTGCTTTGTTTCAATTCTTGAATTTGTCAGGGGCTGCAAACATTACCACATCTAGTACATCTAGTACACATAGTTTGTTCATCACTGTATGTCTAGTATATCCATCAGTACCTGGCACAGAGCAGATATTCATTATTTGTTCAACTAATAACTTAGTGAATCTGCAATATATTAACCAGCCAATAATTAATTAATCAATCACTATATTCTTTAGAAAAAGCACAGGCCATTTATATTTTCAATTTCTTATGTTTGAAAAAAGCTTCTTTAATCTATTATTGGGTACCACAAAGGTTTTTATTCTAATTAGCAACACTGAATGGAAACATAATACAGAAAAGACCAGATAAAGCAGATCAACCAACAAAGGAGGGTAACATGTTGGTGGGAGTTTAAAACCAAGCATAAAAGACATAATGGAATTTTAACTAGCCTTCTCCCTTTTGATTAGTTATTTATAATGAAGTAAGTAACTACTGAATGGAAAATCCGATGCAAATGATATACAGGCAGAAGAAAGAAAAACGTAATCTACAAAAACCACTACTGTCAATTCCTCTGAAGGCTCCTGTAGTCAAATCTATTCAAAACTGTCATGATGACAATCTGGTAAGTACTACCCCTGCAGTGGGTACTACACTCACATATTTGCCATCTAATTTTAGCTGGATCATTCTTTATATCTGATCGGTGAAAGTCAAGTGGAAGATCACTTTAAGATGGAAGTAGGATTAACTGTATTTCACCGATATTCAAAACTGAGATAATGGATCTTGCATCACGGTTTTCAGCATATTCTACATTTTTGGTAAGAAAATTATCTTTGAGAATGTAGACTTAAATACTGGTATTAAGAGAAATGAGATATTCTGTTGTGGGAATCTCACTTCCTATTTTTAGCTTTAAGCTAACACACACAGGGCTGTTTAGCACTCTCATGGAAATAACAGGTCATTCAGCCTAAATGCAGACTTTGTGTGACTGATACCTACTACTGCTATTAGTGGGGGGTTTGGTGGAGCAATGGCACCAGACAGTGATACCATGGAGGGAGTCTGGAAATGGAAAATACAAGAGAGAACACACCCTTTGGAAAACTTCTGAGACCTGTCTTATTCTACCAAGGCTCTGAAACTGGCTTCACTCAGGGTATAGAGAAACAAACAGCAGGAGAAACTCGTCTACACAAGCCAGTGTTTCTCAGACCAGGCAAGGGCCTGCCAATAGTACTTGGCCAGTACACTAGGGAAGTGGTTTAGTCGTGACCCTGAATTCAGAGTAGAAAATGGCTATTTATTGTACATCCAGCCCTTTTCACTATGGAGGCTGTGGATCATGTGCCAGAAACAAAGGCAAGCTGGGTTTACTGGTGCTTTTCTAGACCAGGCAGATGGAAAGCCTTTCTGGTTCAGATCACTTCTCTGCAGTTACGCCAAAAACATGCTCATACTCCCTATGTTCGCCTAAGCTGCTTCTCCCCTCACCTCCCCCTGCCCTCCAATCAACCACTGAAACATTTCCTCAAAACCTCTAGAGTCCTGAGGGGATATGTGAAAATCACTACTTTAGATTAACCCTCAACCAATGCAAGAATTCCTTGTACAGAGTCCCTGACAGTATCTTGTATACTTCCAGGGCTGCACTATGTTCCAGAGGAACTTATTCTCTCACTGGGCAGATCTGACTGTTAGAGAGGATTTCCCAAAGCCAGCTTCAAATCTGCCTCCTTCCTACCTTCTTCTTTTGGTTTCAGTTATGCCTCTTCACGTTGCATGACATACATCTTGTGCTATCCCTTTTTCTCCAATTAAATATTATTCATCTGTCAACACCCATCTCAAATCCTACCTCTTCTGTGTTACCTGCCCTAACAACTCCCCCCAGTGGTCTCTCTGTCCTCAGGGTTCCCTAAGCATTATGTGTACTTGTTTGGACCATTCCTTGGCATTTATGCTTTAAGGTCCTAGTTATCTTTGGCTCTCTTGAGGTCTTTCTAACTGGAACATATTCTCCTTGAGGCCTGGATAGTCTCAGTCTTTTTAAGATATCTATTTCTACATCCTTTCAACATGTTGCATGGGTAGATAACTGTACACTGGTGTGCCCAGGTCCTTCATGAATTGGTCCTCCCCACAATTATTTTGCTTTCTTCCTACCACATTTCCTCACAAAAAACCTCCACTGTAATCTAATCCAACTGCTAAATTATATCCTATGTCTTCCTCCTTTGCAAATAACTTTTTTTCCATTTCAACCTCTCTGTCTCTAGGTCAGAGAATATGACTCTAGGTTACATGAACTTCTGGAAACTGTGCATAAAACTGTGTATTTTACATTTTGGTACTTTTATACCAAAAGATTAAAATCCACAGTTGTAATGTTTTTGGCCTTGTCTGCTGAACCAAGTCTCTTTTTTAGATCAGCTTATGCCCTTGGACCCATGAACCTTCCATATGGGGGAGGACTTTTCAAGGCTGTGAACATATATGTATCCATTTCTATGCCATTAATTTGACTGATTTACTTTGTACCTTGTGAAAACTTTAAAATTAGTACCTTCATTGTGATGTAATTCTGTTATTTAATGTTTCATGATTGTAAACTCTTCAGATAATAGACTTAGTGCCTTTTGTTATATGTACTACCTTGTATGAAGCAGGTAGTCAAAAATAATACTCTGGAAGTATGAAGATTCACATGAAGATGCTGAATCATCTTTAATCAGTGTATAGAAACTGAATCCCAAAGGTATATATCACAGGTGTGACGTTGTTGGAGCTGGGCAAAATGCCACAGTTAGCTGCCACCTCACCTCTGCTTTACGAATATTTTCTCTAGCTTCATCTACTTTCTGTTCCAACTCTGCTCGGCTTTGTTCTGATACTGCAACTCCATGACATTCCAGATCATCTAGTACCTATTAAAGAAAATAAGAAAATGATGACTATTTTTTCTTAAGTGATTATTTAGTAGACTTTAGTGAAAAGTAGCCACGATTCCTTTTTTAACCTTTAATTTCTTCACTATTTGTTAATTAAAAAAAAACCCTTGATATTAGTTATGAAATTGCAAAAGTAGCACACAAAGTCCCTTCATCCTCTCCCATGGTAACAACTTATATAACTATACCACAATATAAAAGCCAGGATACTGACATTGGCACAAACCTTATTTGGATAGCACGTTTTGATAAACATACCTTCAATTTTAAAAAATTACATGAAAATAAAGTATTGTTATAAAACAATTAATATAAAATGGCACATCCACTATGTGCTCCCCCAATAATTACTGTCCCAACAATTTACAAGTATTTTTCCAAACTATTGCTTATGTATTTCTACATATTTGCAATTTTGTTCAAAAAGATATGAAAAACAGATCTAAAATGAGATCTATCATCCCTTCAATGTGTCTAAGCAAACTTTTTATGATTGTACAAATAAATTCATTGTCTAATCCATAGATTCAACAGTTTAGCTGTACCATTTTTATTTACTCTTATTTTACTGCTATTTGAGTTTTCAAATTTCCCAGTATTATAAACAGTATGTACAACCTAGTTAATGACTTTTTGAACACATATAGGAATATTTATTTAATATAAAAATACAGAAGTGAATATTGTGTATTTTAATTTAAATAGACATTGCCAAGTTGTCCCCCCAAAATTTACCTTGTCTTTTACCAGTATTGTGAGGGCATATTTTTTCTGTATCTTACCACATTAAATATCTTTAAAATTTTTTAAATTTTTGCCAAGATGCACATAAAGATCATCTCATTTCAATTTTCATTTCTCTGATTAATAGACAGCATCATTTCATACGCTGGTCATATGTACTTATTTCTACTTTTATAAATGGATAGTTCATAGCCTCTATCCATTTTTCTAGTTTTTTTTGTCTTTTTGTTATTTATTAAACATATTTCTTTCTAGATTTAGTCCTTTTCCTGTTGTTTATGTCAGAGGCGCCAGAGGTGTCAGAGATGCTTGGGTGGCTCAGCTGGTTAAGCATCCGACTCTTGGTTTCAGTTCAGGTCATGATCTCATGGCTCATGGGTTTAAGCCCCGCATCAGGCTCTGTGCTGCAGTGCAGAGATTCTCTGCACCTTCTCTCCTGCTTGAGCTCCCTCTCAGAATAAATAAATATTTTAAAAACTACAAACACAAATGTTTGTCCCATTCTATTCCCTTTCCCATAACTTTTTAAAGTTCCTTAGCTTTATAGAAAGGTTTAGTTTTTATGTGGTCACATTTTATTAGTTTCTTCCTTTATGGGTTCTGGGTTTTGTGTCTTGCTTAAGAAGTTATTTGTAGGGGCATCTGGGTGGCTCAGTTAAGTAACTGACTCTTGATTTCGGCTCAGGTCATGGGTTTGTGAGATCAAGCCCTTGCGTCAGGTTCCATACTGGCAATGTGGAGCCTGCTTTGGGATTCTCTTTCTCCCTCTCTGTCCCTCCCCGACTCATTCTCTCTCTCAAAATTAAAACTGAAAAAAGAAAAGTTATCTGTAATATATCAAAATTATTCTATATTTTCCAGGGTTTAATCATCTTGTGTTTAGCACATGGCTCTTTAATACTTTTGAAATTTATTTTGTATTTTGAAATTTATTTTGTATTGTTTGTATATGGTGGAAGGGAGGAATCTGTATTTTTTCTCAAATGCACAGACAATTGTTCTAATACTATTTACTGAATAAATCCTTTTCCCAAAGATCTGAAATATCATGAATAATTTTATTATGAAAAATTTCAAATATACTTAAAAGTAAAGAGCCTAGTATGCTGAACTTCCATATACTGATCATCAAGATTCAAAAGTCAGCAAGATTTTTCTACATCTACTTTACCTACTCTTTTTTCTCTTTGCTAGAGCATTTTAAAGCAAATTTCAAACATCATGTCATTTCACTCCGACATACCTTATCAAGTTTCTGAAAATATGAACTTTAAGAAAAAATACAACCATAATACCATTAGCAGACCTACTAATAATTCCTTTGGTAGACTTAATATGCTGTTCATCACTAAATTTCTTTGCCTCTTCAAAACGACTTTTTCATGGTTGGTTGGTTTCAATCAGTATCTAACAGTCTATACACATATAGATCATTTTCTTTGATATATTTGTTAATTTTTGTATAATACCAGTTGTAATTACTATGGTCACTATTGTATTTCAGTATGTGCTAAGGCACACTGTCTCATTATTGTTGTTCTTGGCTATTCTTGCACATTAAAAAAAACTGAGATACATTTTTAGAGTCAGGTTTTTAAACTGTTTGAAAATATTTTTTCAGGGGTGCCTGGTTAGCTCAGTAGGTAGACCATGTGATTCTTGACCTTGGGGTTAAGTTCAAGCCCCACATTGGGTGTAGAGATTACTTAAAAAGGAAATCTTTAGGGGCACCTGGGCAGCTCAGGTCATGATATCATGGTTAATGGATCTGAGTCCCACATCGGGCTCTGTGCTGATGGTATGGAGCCTGCTTGGGATTCACTCTCTCCTTCTCTCTGCCCCTCCCCCACTTGTGCATGCTTGCTCTCTCTCACTCTCTCAAATAAAACTTAAAAAAATAAAAATAAACAGAATGTAAAATAATTACTAATTTAAAAAATAAAATAAAAAATACCTTTCTGGTTTCATTGGTATTGCACTGAAATTACAAATAAATATAAAAATACACATGTTCTGGCATTTCTCCAACTACTCAGGTCTTCTTTTATGCTCATTAGTAAAAAAAAAATGTCTTCTTATAGGTCATGACATTTCACTGGTTAATTCACCAGTATTTTATTGCTATGGTGAATAATTTTTTCTTACTGTAGTTTGCAATTTATTATTTGTAGTTACTAAGAAAGCTAATAATTTCTGTTATGTTGTTCTATTTCTTCACCTTACTGAACTGTTATTATGCCTGTTTGATAGCTGGGTCACATATTTTGGGGAGTACACAATCATATCATCTATAAATGACAGATGTACCTTTTCCAAATATTTAAACACCTGACTTCTCTTTCACTAAATGCACTGACTAAATCTTCTTTTGCACCACTGAAAAGTAGTGGTGATGATGGGTACTGTTTTCTTATTTTACCATTTTAGTAGGCAGAATGGCTTCCAAAGAGGTCCACACCCTAATTTCCTGAAACTGTTTATCTGTAAAATATAATTTACACATATATTAGCATTATAAACCTTAAGATAGGGAGATTATTCTGAGTTATCAAAGTGGCTTAATCTAATCACTATGACACCTTATAAGCATAGAACTTTCTCTGGCTGGAATGAAATGAGACATGGACCAAAAACAAGACAGGGAGATTCCAAGCATGGGAAGGATTTAATGCATCCTTGCTGGCTCTGAGATGTAGGAGCCCATATGGAAGGACCAGTAAGAGTAGCCTCTAGGATCTGATAGCAAAGAGCAGGGACCTCAGTCCTACAGTTATTAGGAATTAGATTCTGACAACAATCTCAATGAGCTTGGAAGTGGGTTATACTCCAGAGGATTTCAGTCTTACTAGAAACTGAGAAGTAAAATCAGCCAAACTCACCTAGACTTCTGATCTACAGAACTGTGAGATAAGAAATTTGTACTGTTATTTTAAACTACTAAGTTTGTGGTAATTTGTTAGGGCAGACATAGAAAACGAATACAATCATCAAGTGTGATGTTTGCAGTTTAAGTTTCAGGAAGATATCCTTGTTAGGATGAAAAGCTCTTTATCTTGCTGGGTGTGAGTTTTGTTTTATTTTTTAATCACTAAGAGATAATGAGTTTTATTATATGCTTTTTTGGAAACTATAAAATAATCATAGAAATTCTCATCTTTATTTGGTAAATACAGTTTATTATGCTGATAAATTTTCTAATGCTGAATCATCCTTGCACCCTACTCCCATGCTTAAAATATAGCTAGATTCATTTTTATTAAAATTTATTTAGCATTTTTATAAGTTTGTTACATCTTTGTTAAAAATCACTGGACTATATAAGTGTGCCTATTTCTGGACTCTCTACTTTGTTCCATTCATCTGTAAGTCTATTTTTAAAAAAAAAACATTTACTTTTATTATTTACTTTTTTAATGTTTATTTTATTTTTGAGAGAGACTGACAGAGTACTAGCATGGGAGGGTTAGAGACAGAAGGAGATACAAAATGTGAAGCAGGTTCCAGGCTCTGAGCTGTCAGCACAGAGCCCGATGAGGGGCTTGAACCCACAAACTGTGAGCCAAAGTTGGATGCTTAACCACTTGAGCAACCCAGGCGCTCCTTATTTATTTATTTTTAAAAGAGAAAGGGCAGAAGTGAACGAGGGGCAGACAGAATCCCACGAGGAGCTGAGAGAGACAGAAAGGGAGAGAAAGGGAGAGGGAGAGAACCTTACGCGGGCAGTACAGAGCCTGAGCGGGGCTCAAGCTCACAAACTGTGAGATCACGTCCTGAGCTGAAGTTGGATGCTTAACCCACTGAGCCACCCAGGTACCTCCTGTAAGTCTATTCTTACACCAATACTACAATATCTTGATTTTTGTAGCTTTATATCCTGAAATAAGGTAGAGTAAGCCCTTCAGCTTTATTCTTAGTTTTCAAAATTGCTTTGGCTATTCTAGATCATTTGCTTTTCCATGTATGCTTTAGAAGCATTTTGTCTATTTATATAAAAATCCCTGCTGGATGTTTGAATTGGATTGCACTGAATATACGGATTAATTTGGAGATAACTGGTATTTTAAAAATATTGAGACCTCTACAAATGAACAAAGAAAAAAAGATAAACCAAAAAATAGATTCTTAAATATAGAGAACTGATGGTTATCAGAAGGGAGGTAGCTGGGAAGATAGGTGAAATAGGTTAGGGAATTAAGAGTACACTTATCATGATGAGCACTGAGTTATGTACA